TTCCTGCAGCAGGCGTGAAGTTCGGTCGTCTGACCGACCCAGTATTCGCACAGTTTCGAAGTCGAAGCTGTGCCCTGGCTTGGATGCGTGGGCGGCCACCAGAGAATTCTTGTCGTTCCGTTGCACGGCGAGGTCATGCTGGTGCATTCTCGTAAGGACCCGTTTGCCGGTTTCACCAACATAATTGGCTTGATCGCAAAGACAGTCAATACGCTAAATGACGCCGGACTTTTGATCAACGGGTACTGGGTCCTTGGACCGCATAAGTTGCCTGCGGATTGTTGCTTCCGGTCTGTGAGCAACGCCAATCCCAAATTCGCTGACATGAACCTGCTCCCACTACATTTTTATAGGCTTAAACGAGAGCAAATCGGTTTCCATATTATTGAATGTGCGGCAAAGACAACAATCTCCAGAATATTTGAGCTAAATCCTAAGCGCAGAATGATGCAGTAGACTAACGCCTTTTAGTACTATTCTAGTAAGGAATGAGCTGGTGTGCTGTGAACATGGGTTCAATCATTCTTTTCATTATAACCTGCTCTAGTTACCCGCCTGAGACTGTTAATCAAAAGCTGATGAGCTCGGACGCAGTCGCTGACGCAACGAGTGAACCAAGAACATGTAGGTCAGTAATAATGAGGGCAACATGTGACAATTCGGCCATCGATTTCGATGAGGGCTAAAGTGTGAGCTACAGAATGATGAGCGCAGGGCTGATGCCTAGCAAGGGAACTATTGTATAAAGCTAGTAGACTGGTACCGCATCCACCGCACTCTCACGTTCGTCACCTACGTGGTCGCGGTTTGCAGACAGAGTCAGTAAGACCGGATGCAAGACCAGATGCAGGTGGCTGGCGCGACATAAGCAGCCGCCTACGCTTATCACCACGTTCTCCACATTTGGTATTAATTATGGTTGCGGTCTTCCCGCTAACGCTTTTAGTACACCTGAATTGTTAGCAAAGCAACTATATCGGATAAACTGGAAGACTTTACCAGACGCGAATAACTGAACATGCGTCAGCGGTGAGGGTTAAATGACGCCAACTTTCGATTCGCAGATCACTTGTCAAGACCGGACCCTATATTCTACCTCTACGAGGCCAAAATGTACATGAGAGGTGGCAATTACGCAAACTGCCCACTTTCTGAGGCTTAGTTAACTGCCCCCATTCCATTACCAAGTGCAGCGACCTCCTTACCGTAAATTTGGTGCTAAGAATTATTTGAAGCAAATTAAGTAGCTGCTCAGAGAGCACGCAGGCGAAAATTGTTTCCAGCGCAAGTGCTGATGAGTTAAGTGGCCGAACAATCATTCGGCTAAGATTCAAGGCGCGTGATTAAATTTCAGTGATTAAATGTTTAAATATCGGCTAGCAAGCTATTATCGCACACATAGGCAACAATCCTCTATGAATAGAGAGCCGTTAATTGTCGTATGTAGGCGGCTATATGGTGGCTGCATCCTATTAATACCGTTTCTCTATGCGCAATAATTGCCCTAGATGATGTCTTGGATGCTGGATTCAAGCCAGAATTCTAAATATCGGGCAAATATAATTCCAGCGATTGCGTCTGTGTCTGCTTCCAGCGACTCGTACTTTTCTCACGTGTATCGTCTACCTCAGTTGCTTGTCAAGCGGTTTATCGACAGGGCATTACACTTTTTCGACTTACACAGCAGGTAAAATGGAAGGAGTCTGCCAGTGTTTTCAAGCAAAAGGTAGTATTTGTAGGGCCCTGCCTTCTTGTAGATCAACTTCAAACCTCTGTCGAGGGAGGAGAGGTAGGATTTCATTTCCCATTCGTCCGAGGACGTTGTCACCAGGCTGCCGTTCAGACGCCCATTCCATTTCCCAAACATCAGACTTCCGTCGAATTCCGACCCACTGTAGTGGCCTATAAAGGGAATCGAATAATTGGAAAGTGACAACCAGGGTAAAAGAAAATAATAAACCGCAAACACTTCTTTCTACTTCTACTTAGATTTTGGTAATTGCTGCAAGCAAAGTGCCGCAATTTTCGAAAGACTGGTAATCACTCAGAAATAAACATTAAGAAGGGTGGCAATACTGACTTTCGTGCAGCCTAATCATAAATACTTTCAGTCACGCAAGGACGTCCGTTTTTTAAATTAGCGTCTTTCTGACCGCTTACAAAAAGCAGATTACTTAAATAATGGTTCCTTGAATAGTATGAAATTTTATTATGGGTTTTGACTGTCTTCCTAAATTCAAATATACTTTGCAGAAAACATCCACGAAAATATGTTTTCTTGTACCCGTTTGGCGCGAAATTACGCCTTCTTAAGATGTTATACTTAAAGGAAGGGTATTCTTCAGTTTTATAAAAATGTCCGAATAATGATACACTCATAATACATCGTATCTATACATTTTTAATGTTGTGCATAAAGTATAGAGCGTAATCCACAGCTATTGCACAATTTTATGAGAAATATGCGACCTCTTCCTCAAACCGTAGGCGACAATGTTTTTTTCTTAAACAGAACGTACACAGCGCGCATTTTTTAATGATTGAATTCAAATGTAGCAGTCGGCAAGCGTCATAATTATTCTGCCATTGGGACACTTTATTACAACCGAAAGATACCCTTTCTTTAAGTATAAAATTTTAAGAAATTTTAAGAAAAATACAAGAAATAATATCTTTGTGCATGTTTCCTGTAAAATATATTTGAATTATTACAGGAAGTCAAAATGTATAATCAAAGTGCTGAATATTTAAGTGGCCATTTTTTTCAGAATCTATGTTTCATATGCGGTCAGAAAGACGCTTATTTAAAAAACTGGCGTCCTGGCCTGATTGAAAATACTTGAGATTAGGCTGCACGATAATCAGTATTGCAACCCTACTTAATGTTGTTTTGCGAGTGACTAACAGTCTTTCGCCAATTGCGGCATTTTGCTTGCAGCACTCGCCATACTGTACATACGTATTCATCACTGCTTGGCAAATTCCAACAGAAACTTACCACGGAATCCGTATTCAAGATCCCAAGGAAATCGCGATGTAAATGCCAGATCTCCGCGGCTTGGCTGATATCGGAACAAAAGTAAATCCTCTGCCTTCGTACCAGATCTATGCAGGCCTGGATGACCACAAAGCAGCTCGATACCGCCAGATTCTTGCCGTTTAAAGAAAAACGCTAGGCCATCGAATCGGCTCACTTCCAAGGCGAAGGTGTTGCAGAGGTCAAGTTGGGAATTGCACGTTTTTGACACCTGCACTGAGAGACCAAGTATTTTATCAAGCAGAGCTGGTGCTCGGGAAATAGTTTTGCTGTGAACTCCATCAAATTGAAGTGGAGTCAGTTTCTGCTGGCCAATTTCCTGAGTTAAACGCCTTTGGATTAGAAATGAAAAAAAAACATCTGTGACTTGGGGCTGTTTTAAGGTACATCCAAATAATTCCCGTAGATAGCTGCCATACAAATATATTATCTTGCCTAGATTAACTATGCAGCATTTCTGACAATGGCGAAAAGCATTTAATAAACAAGGGCCACTAATCGATATATATATATATATATATATATACATTATATCTCTGTCTCAGTAGGTGAGCTGTGTTAGCCCACACTCATTCGAAAGCTAAAACGCAAAGGCTCGTTCTAAAGCCAGAAGTAAGCCTGTAATTATCAAAAGCACAAGGGTTTTGGCGTGAAAAGTAAGCAAGTCAGAATTTTTAAAAAATCTCGAAGACTAATCACTACGTCGACCATTGATAATGAAGCGTTACCCATCGATAAAACATGAAAGCATATGGATTCAGTCGATAATATTAGTGGGAGGCGGTAAAACAAAGCGGTCAACCCAAATGTCACTTAGTACGCATTTGACACCGCTTCATCGCGAATGTAGGGCACTGGTGTCATCCGCGCAGAGTAGTCGATGTTTCCATAGGGATGTAATGTATTGGCAACCGTGAAAAACCATCAATAACGACCTGTACACATTACAAACGATAAACGTAATTATTTAAATGGTTTGGTGTTTTTTCTGAGGTCTTTGAAAAGGTTCGGTTAAAAAAAGTATATAATATTTTTTGAATTACCGGCTATCGAACAGGAGAACGAAACGGATGTTTGCGAACGAAACACAGAGTTTATCGATGTCTCTTAAGCAAATAGACTTCCTCGGAGTTAGGGTACTGTGACATCGCATTTCGTTTGAGTTGCTGCAGGCTGGAATAACTTTACACCCAGGGAGGCACTGGATCCCCGGCCCAGAATTACGTCAAACCTTTATCTTCTCGTGACGCGTCCCGCGTTGTATCAGATCCTGAGGCCATACCTTAGCCGACAAGGTGTTGACGAGGATAAGAGTAGGCAGCACGGTCGTGGAGTGAGCAAATATAAATCTGACTATGGGGGTGTCATGTCGAGCCTAATATCACTATGGTGATTAGCAAACGCAGTTTGTCTATCGCCTTCATCATGACGTTGGAATTGTGGTTTGACTACTAACACCTACAACCTGGCTCATTTACGCCAGCCACGGCCACCCACGCTATTTGCAACTCTACCTTGCGTACGTATATCATTCACTATATTTGAATAGCCCTCCTACATTCGGAATCGTTTATAGACGAATTTCGGTCTAGGACGGGAGCACTTGTAATTACTAACTCTAGACGAAGCGCACATATGAATGCTTGTCGTGACTAGCTCTTATCGAACGCACATTTGCGAACGCTTTCTGTTTTCGGCTTCTGGAACAGCCAATCACGGGCTGAATCACGCAGGACCTCATGCGACGTCTGCCGAGCAGACATCACTTCAGACGCAATTCGCTGGCTTGCGGTTGTGCGTTCATCTGACAGTCGATTTTATACTACCCATTTTCCATTCCTTCTCTACAGAATATACTGTTCCTTCCACTCTGGCCTCCTCGTGAATTTTCTTCGCCTAAGGAACTGGGCCTGAAGATTGCAGTTGCTGAGGTTTAACTTACTTAACCCCCTACGATAGAATGAGTAACTGTAACACCGATCGTTTTTAAACCACAGCTGGATGACCGCCGATCAACGATTCGCGAACTTGGGTATGACAACAGTGATCACCCGCAGAGACAGCAGTTTAGTCTAATGTGAGCGTTGTTACGTAGTAAGTAGAGCTTATAAATAGTGTAGTCCCTTTGTGTGTATTGGCCCTACAGTAGCTACATGAAGTCTGAGCCAACCGAATTGCTGCCCATAGTACAGAAGCTAGTTGGCCTGTAGCGTGCATGGAAGGGTTGTTAAATCAGTCTCCTCAGATCTCCTTTCCTTTTTAAGAAGGAAGGAAGGAGAATGCTATATTGAGGATTTTACAAACCTTATTTTCGGCAAAAATGGCTCCATTCACGGAGAGAAGATGATAAGGTAATTAAAGGGTCATTTTAAAAGGTAAAAGGTCATGTAATACTCACAATCAAGTTTTTCGCGACATTCACATCAACTATGGAGACAGGTTAGCTTTCAACTTCTCCATTTCCGCTTCTTCACACGTGCGGTAGCGTGCTAGGAATGGGATTACCGAGTGGTGATATGCTGATGTGCGGGAATTCATATGATGGAAACCTCGACGCATGGGACGGGAAGACCATTTATATCCGAAAACGAGTTTTAAGTGAAGCGCCGACTACAATCCCAACAAATCTCTAGAAGTACTTAACAATTTATGCGAAAGGAGAAGGGATGCGATAAAAGCGAGGGCATCAAACACCCAAACCTGTATCCACCACAACGCTGCACCTTACTTTATTTCTCGGTAAACAAAGATCCCAAATAGCGCTGCGTATTTATGGAAATACATATATCAAGCCTTTGAGATGTGTTGCCGACTTCTAAAGGAGTACACAACGTAATTCCATCCAACCATGAAATTATTCTCAGCAGAAAACCCCCTTTGAAAAAAAGCGTTTCCATATACTCTGTGGTAAGAGCTCTTACACCCGGTTTCAGGAATGGCATAGAAGCGCATGCTCGATCCTAAGTGGCGTTGAATTCATCAGAAGCTTTCGCGCAATCAAGCATTGTAACAATTCTCAAACGCTGTGCCTACCTAATGCTGAGTACAAAATCTCAATGGCTAACGCATCCCGAGATAAGAATAAAGTTTATCTCAGCGCACCGGGTGCTACTTCATATTTTAAGTAGTTTCCGTTTTAACTTATTGTAAAACAGATTTTTGTCGAGGAAGAATCAGAGTTTTGAGCTCTCAAAACACCTCACCTCGGTGTCAAAGCTATTCATAGGTAGAGAGCAGCCAGCTGAGAAAAAACTGCTAATACTAAACCAACTTCCTGAACTGTCATACGGTGAGTAACTGCTGATTTATGGAAACATACTGATGACGATGATGATGACCATGATGATGCAACGGTCTGTTTCAGGCCTTTGGGCAACAGTTAATAGACTTACTCATATTTGAAAAGCTGCTGGTTTGAATTGGTGCCACCGAGAAGGAAGTCAGCAGAATATCGCGAAGGAGGCCAATCGAATTTGAAATAAAAGGGCAGTCCACCGAACAACTTATCATTCGTCTGAAAGCCGATTGGTCCTGAGGGCGTAAGGAGGGCAACCGATGTCTGAAGGCTAGCCGATATCCTTCCAATGATAAAAATGTCGCGTTAGTTACACAGATTTTTGATAAAATGATCAGAGAAGTATTTTACTGTTGATAACCGTCTGCCTGAAATATTGGATGTTTTGATAGAATCGTTGACGAGCAAAACACAAATGCTTTGTTAAAACGTTTCTGTGCCCCTTTTTTTACTACTAACTTTCCTATTAAAAAATCGCTTACAGCACCCTATAGCTCAATGAAGGAAGCAAACACGCAAGTTCCAGGAAGTACTTCAGAAGGAAAAGTTGCGATCGCTGTAGCAAGAAGTTTATTGACCTGAAGTTTCGCATTCTGGCTTGAACCCATCAGCTGAGACAAACGGAGCCGCTGCTGATGATGATCGATTCAAGCTGGAAGTTGAAACGTCAGTCCAATAAATCCCTTGTTATATCAATCGAATGTTCTCTTGCCCTATACCTTAACCAACACGATGAACTCAGATTGCTTTACCTGCATTGGGCAGAAACAGTCGAGCAAAACATAGTCGACAAAATATACAGAATTTATTAACTTCATCGGGTTTATTTTGATGGGCTCTATTCCGGGGAAACAGTGCTTAAAGCATGTGAAGAAACATCTGAAACCAAGTGTGTAAAATTGAAATGAATAAACATCAGCTAAGGTCTCTAGCAAGGTCTGGCTCCCTCCCCCTTCCACCAACCTTGTTTTTCTCATATGTTTCTTGGCGTCTCTTTAGCAACACCCGTTCCTCGGACGGACAGTCCTGCGACAGTATCACATGAAAGCCTACAGCTTCTGGCACCCTGCTTCGTCCATAAGGTTAAGATCGCTATCGATCTCGAAGTTGGATTAGCGAGACCGTCGTGTGTGCTAGTGTTAAGAATTTCCCAGGAATATCTGTTGAATGTGTAGTCGCACCAGCTGACGTTAACTTTTGCCAATAACTGAAAAAATATTAATTTTTCTCGACCTCCCTTGACATTTCTCTCATCGTTCAAAGTATGCCCGCAGCAACGGTCTCTAACCGTCAGTTCGTGTTTTCAAAATATCTAGCACCGGCCTAGTCCAGTTAGCTGCAACGCCCGTTACAGGCTCACAGAGATAAACGGTTGGCTGTTTTGATGCATACAAATATAATTTATTTTCTGCACCTTCGCTTTATCACTTTTAATGCAACAGTTACCGCCCATAGGAAGTAGGGAAGTGATTCTGAATAACAAAGCAAAGTTGCCAATACAAGTGATCATGCGAGTCCCAGGAAGTAATTGAGAAGAAAAAAATGTGATTGCTGGGACAAGACGTTTATTGGCCTAACGTTTTGAAACTCCTCCAGGATCCTTCATCAGAGACAATGGCAGGAACAGGTAGTTCATGCATAGGGAGTAGCAGTGTTTATAGAATACAGTCACTTTGCTACTGCACAATTATTGCAATTAACGACTCCCCTATCAAAGGTAATTGCCCGCTTCCGCGCTAATGGCTTGGTGACCGGCGTGCGGGCCGTACCCTACTGAACTTTCATCGCACGTGATATAATTGGACGTGATGCTTGTTCGTCCATCTGGTTCCTGGGTTCATGATCAGGCCTGCGCGCAATGAGAACATCAAGGCAGGGAAACTGTTCAACTTTTCTTCCTTCTCTTGTAAACTGAATACTGAGAAAAATGTTCTGAATTTTTGATTACATTTTCAAACGGGAAATTAAGCTTCAAAATTTTAAGGAAGTCAAGTTAGGCGAACGAAAGTTTTCGACTAATTCATCATCAGGCAATACAGTATAAGGGAGGGTACAGTTAACGAATGTTTTAGGCAAACCAAGCAGTAGTAACAAGGGGGAAAAGGGGGGAGAGAGGT